ACACACACATGTACACACACACACACCAGATACTGCTGTCTGCCCTTCCTTTGTGGGCTATCAGCTCAGAAGAGGGTTTTCACAGCTAACAACTCCCACATTTTCAGGCAGAGGATCAGTGAGTAGGCAGACTAATGTCATAGTCTTTTGAAAAATACCGTCGCATGCTTAGCTGATAGGCATGTTGTGACCTCTATAATGAGGTCAGGGATAGGAAGAGAGCAAGAACGAGCTGGAGTGGAAGAGTGAGGCTGGGCTGAGGGGGCTAAGCGGGCTGCCCTGGTGGCACCCGCGGAGCAGGGCAGTGCTGTGAACCAGCCCTATAAAAGGTGCAAACAGGGACCTGCTTTGACAGGGAGCCCGACACGGTGAGTGTGAATTTCCAGGTGCTTCCAATACTCTTGTAAGTGGATGGATGGTAAGAGGTAGGCTCCACATGGTCTGTTGTCTGTACTGGTAAACCAGCCAAACCCTCCTTGGAGGAGGTGCCAATAAGGGCAGAGTCCCAGTCTTTGGAGTAAAATGGTAATTGATAAAACAAAGTAGAATTTAGTCATGTGGACTAGACAAACATGACAGAAAACACTCAGAGTCCTACATCTCTCCCCAGGCACATGGGACACTGAACCTATGGTAGTAAGTTCCTGGTGATTCCCACTATGAATACACCCCAACTGAAGGCCCGCTTGCACTGGACGGGACTAGCCAAGGACATGGAGGTGACTGTTTTTGCAGACTGAGGATATCAATTGAGAGATACTGAGAAAGGCATTAAAGTTCCTGTCATACTCACTCACTCATTCATTCATTTACTCATCACAGTTTTATTGAGCACTTATAAGGTACTAGACCTAGACTAGGTACTAAAATATAGTGCTGAACAAAATGGAGAAATTATCCTTTCCTGCTATGGACTTGGACATGCTCTCCCTACCATGTATAGTGAAGAAAGACACTAAACTGATAATCATGCAAATGAATATATAATTGTGAATCATAAAGTTTTCCAAGAAATTATATAGGGTGCTAAGAGACTATAATAGGAGAAACTGATTTAATTTATGGGGTAGGGATCAGACAAAAATCTCTCTGCAATATCAGCTTTAGATAGGAGCCAGCCAGGGATAAAGACAGAGTAGAAGCATTCTCAGTAGAGGGAAAGGGAGTGTTAGTTGCTTAGTTGTGTCCGACTCTTTGAGACACCATGGATGAAGAATATGCCAAAAATGAAAGAGGTGACAAAGACTGGTGGATGATTAGGGTAGTTAAGGCAAACAGAATGATTTCCTTTCAGATAAGTTTAAAAATACATAAACTAGAATAACAAATATGCAATTAATAAAAATAAAAGTATGTATTTTACAATACCATAAACTTCTAAATTGTCTTTATTATTATATAAACATTTCCACTATAATTACTAAGAGGAATGAGTCACACTGAAATCAAACTGTATTTACCTGGCTTTGTGTATTTTTATTAGGCTAATTTCCAGAATACACTAATGAGGATATTCTAGGAGCTTAAAAAGGAACACCCTACATCCTACATCGCCCCCCCTCCCCCCAGCTTTAGTAAATTGTTTAAGGGTATTTATTGCTGATATGATCCTGCTACAAAATTCAACTAAATTTTTCTCTAAATTTCAACTCAGACCACATGGAACTAGTATTATAGCAGAGAGAGCAGCCTACAAAACTCCGTATTCTATTTTTATAGCCCTCTTCCACTTAAGTTCTATTTCATTAAAAAGAGCTGTGTCATCCAAAGGAATAATTGGTAAGAATGAAGATAATGGTTCATTATGAAGGTAAGTGAATTATATATTGATACTGATCTTGTGTTTTAAAAAAATTAACATAAGGAAATGTCCTTTTATTTTAAATAAGTACATATATACAGACTAAAAAATAAAACAAAAATTTCCGTGAAATGTAAAAAGCAATCATTTACGTATATGTTATTTTGCCTCCCAAGTCCAGATGATTTAACTATAATACCCTGTAGTTTTGGTAATAGATAATGCTGAATAACTGCTCGAGTTTTATAACAGCAGAAGCTCTGTATGTTTTTTTTAACTTAATAAAAAATAGTAACATAGAGCAAAAGAGAAACCTGGGTAGAAATCAATCCAGTTACTAAAAATGCTACTAAAAGCAGCATATGAGTACACACATTTCTTTAAGTAAACTTTTCCAAAACTCACTAGTTATTAAAGCTCAAATTCTTATGTGTATGCAATGCCTACCATGCATGGAGGACCAAAGCAGAATGTGGAAAAATCCCTAGTGGTTTGGGTTCTAGTCCTTACTCTTGCACTTTTTTTTGCAACATGGCTTTGGGTTAATCACTTAACCATTTTGAGTTGGTCATTTGCAAATACAGTTGTAGTGAGGTTTAAAAATACATAAATGTGGAAACTCCCTTGATAACTGCAAAAGTCCTAAATTAATCAACTAAGGTTCTCAAAGGAACCTGAGTCTAATAAACAACTCATCAATAAATGTTCTTTCTTTCTGAACACCGATTACAGGCATTTAACATGCTCTTTGGGATTAACAGTTATTTTGCTATTTTAAAAACAGAGACCAGAGTTAGAAACTATTCAGCCTTTCACTCTGAAATTAGTGGGTAAGTGTTACACGGGAGGATTTCCTCCATGATTAAGAATATTCTTTACCCTGTACTGTCTGTCAAAAATTAGTTGGGATAAATATCTATCTGGGAAATATGTTACAAACTCAGGATATAGAATAAAAACAGGAGGCAAAAGTGGGCTCTTCTCTCTTTCTTGGAATAAATTTCTAGAAGTGAAGTTACTAGACCAGGTTCTTCATGTGCTCATGGCTCAGTTGCTCGTTCATGTCCAACTCTTTGCGGCCCTATGGACCGGAGCCTACCAAGCTCCTCTGTCCATGGGATTCCCCAGGCAAGAAGACTGGAGTGGGTTGCCATTTCCTCCTCTAGAGGATCTTCCTGACCCAGGGATCAAATCTGCATCTCTTGTATCTCCTACATTGACAGGTAGATTCTTTACCACTGTGCTACCTAAACAATGCCTTTCAGAAAGGTGCTAAAATTTATACTCCTAGATGATGCTCACAATATACCAGTTTTACCTCTTACTATCTTCCATAATTAGTCAAAATCCACAAGACTCAGCTATTTTTCCTTCCTCACACAGTATATTCCTGTCCCAATATGCACGACAGGATGGCACAGGCTGAGTGTTTGAATGAGCCTTCAATTGCTTACCGTTCCTCTTAGGATAAATCCAAACTCTTTAATAGTTTACAAGCTCTGGGTGAAGTGGCCTCTTCTTCCCTCTCTAGCCTCATCTCTCACTACCAACTCCCCTCTCGAACAGGCCAGCTGTCTCTTATGTTTCGATCTTTGTTCAGGCTATTACTTCTGACTGGAATGCCTGATTAGAGAAGGAGCTTAGTGTTAAGACAGCATTTCTGACTAGTAAGAACAAAAGTGTCTCCCGTCACACAGTTCTGAGTATTGATTTAAGAACAACTTTAAATGTCTGTGGAAAAAATAATAACCCAATTACTCAGTTATTCAGAGTAGCAGGTTTTGATAAGGGCACTATTCTTGTGGAGAGGAAGATGCTGGGGGTATGTAATTGGGGACAAGAGACAATAGAGAACCAGTGCCATAGAGAACTGCACTCCTACATCAACCCAAATAAATGAAAATATTTTCTTACACTTCAGTTTTAAGGAGAGAGTTGTAAGTAATAATATATTTAAATGATATACTCAGGAAAGCAACTCAAATGTAAGTTGTTAAATCTTTCACATCTTGTATATCTAGATGATCTATCTTCCACAGCAGTGACATCAAATTTTTTTTTGATGCTGTGAACATGAAGCACTGTTGCTCAAATTACTTAAAAACCTGTAGCCATGTTTTTCACGGTCTTCTAACAAGAAGCACAATAAATTTCCTTCCAACCAAAATGTCATAAAATGGGTTGATCTTGTGAATTGAATGTTTGGGTCAGTAAGACTATCAGCTTCCACACTACCATTGTCCTAGTTTCTCATCATCCATCTGGCCTGGGTTTAATGGCCCTTGCCTTTGGCCTCGCATCTCTTGATGGATGCTCTCAGCACTAGAGAGATCCTATAGGCCAATCTCATCATGCAAGTCCCCAGGACGGAATTCTTCAGTAGCTCTTTATTACGCCGCAAAAAGCCCAAGTATTTTATCATACAATTCCCCACTTAGCTCTCTAGGGGCCCATCTACTGCCCTTTCTCACATGCTTTCCCTCAATTTTTAGTGAACTGGTAACTCTGAGCCACATAAAATCGCTGGGACATACCATACACACACATTGGTAGCATACCTTCATATGCCTCACCACAAAAATACTGCTACTCATCTTTCACTATTTACCCATATGCTCCTCATTCTGAAGCCTCTTCTCCCTTCCCAAGGGGGCAAAGGCCCTTCTTCTCCTACACTCTTTCACTGACTTACTACAAATTGTATTGGAACTCTCGGTGTGACTTTCTTTCCATATAATGGGGTGCTACCTATGTCTTTTTGTCTTTACCTCAAGAATCATGGCCCAAGTCTACTGTACAACAGATGTTCATTTTTAAATGAAACCATAAATATATTAAAAATCCTATCTTTAATGATGAACTTTACAGCTATTCATTTACTGTATATTATCACAATAATAATCAATCAGCTAATTAATTATTATTCTCCATCAGTTCTGTGCATAGGAAGTTACGAAGTTATATCCTTAAAGATATAAGATGCTACAACATATGAACTCACTGAACATGTGAGTTGAGGGACAAATCGATGTTATCTTTTAAAAAAAAATTTTTTTTTCAGGGCATAAAATCTCAATTTAAGATTTTTTGTGAAAATCTGACAAGAGGATAAAAATAAATAATCTGGAATTTACCAAAAAGAGTCAATTGCCAGTCTGCCAATAAACCGTCATCACAGAGTCTTTCGAAGTGTACTTACATGGTACAGTGTGGCTTCAGGCACAGGTGTGCCCATGATGTCTTGTCTCAGTGCATCCATTTGCAAACTAGGTAGCAACGAATAGTGAGTCGGGCTACTACTCTTATCACCCTTCTTTTTAGACTTCTTCCCTGTGTCTTTTTTGCTGTTTCTCTGAAACATGTATTCTTCTTGAGCAATTTTTTCATTGCTCATATATCGGAGTAGAGAGTTTTCTAAATAAAAAAAGATAAATACACTAATGTAGATATGCAAATATTCCAAACTTACCATCTTTTAAGTGTACTATTAGATTTCACTTCAGAAATGTAACTTGATTTTCTTTATAAAACACCATTATAGTGAAAATATGGAGAATCTTAATTATTTGGGATCACAGGACAACAGGAAGTTGATAGCCTATAGAGTATTTCTCCAAGTTTTAGTTCTGAACCAACCATATCAGAATTACCTGCAGAACCTGAATCATAAGTTTCAGGTGTGTGGCTCATAAAATTTTTAACAAGTTCTCGCAAGGAGATTCTGCTAAAATCTGACAACAAACATCCTAGGGAACATCCTTGGAGAAGTTAAAGCCCACATTATGGACCAATAGTGAGGAAACTTAGTTCAAAAAAATTTATGCTTAAATTGATAGCCAGAACTCTACTTCATAAAGCCTTTATTCCCCAAGATGTTACTATCATATCAAGTCCCAAAAGGGTGACTCAGAAAAGGCATATAAGTGTTTCTTTCTTAAAATATTTTTCTTGATTAATTCTATAAAACAGAAGAGGTTAGAAACTGAAGTTTGGAAAATGTAGTGAATACATAGATGTAAAGTAATCTCAATGCTCCTATATTTACCAACATTTCCAGAAATGCTCGTTCCATAAAACAAATGTTAAGAAGACTAATGAAGCAGATAAGCTTATTTCTGTGTGGTCTGTGGATCTGTGCATTAATGAAATAAATTTTGCACACTGGCTAGAAATAACAGGCAAATGGGTTAAACATGTTTTAAAGGAAGCTTCGTGAAGTCATGTCCTATGAAGAGTTGTTTTTTTTTTTTTGCTTTGTTTCTTTTTGTTTTTCATCTATAACTTTATGGATCTTATTTCAGAAAATGGAAGTAGCAGCATGACCCACTGGGCCCACCATATCCATCCACACTTGGTTGAATCCCATTTAGTAGCAAAATTTCCCGTTGCCTTCTTTACTGCTCACCTTAATAACAGGATAAGTGAACATAAAAACTTACTTTTGGTAGATACTTCAAGTGTAGCCCACCCCCAAGTAAGAAGATAACCCTGAACAGCAAACAGGAGAGAAAAAAGCAAAGCAGGTTTTTTTTTTCCATTTTTATATGGTTTTCTTTTAGAGACACTGGCCCAGTTTCTATTAGCTTTTACCCATGTGCTTCAAAACTCATTTTAAGGTTATATTAATACAAAAATAGTGAGGTTGGCATTGCGGACCAATGGGGACTGATCACAAATGCTTCCTATTCGTTGAACTTAATTATTTTATGCAGTTTCACACTTCTGACCTTGTTTTCCAAGTATTAAATTTCAAATAACAGATATTAATTTTTTTATACTGTACTTATCTACTCTAAATCCCTTAGGAGGCATTCAGAGAAGATATTTACTTAATAATAGATCAAGACAGTTAAAGGTTGGTCTGAGTTGGTTTGGATGTATCATAAAAATCAATAAGAGAATGAATAGTTTTTCACTGAAGCCATAACATCCTATGTAAAAAAACATTTAAATCTGCTTTTTGTTTCAACAACCCAGCCTACACTGAAATTCTAGAACACTTACCTCTTCTACTATCTCTCTTCATCTTATTTGGATCTTCATAGTCCCCCACCCAATTATATTCCACTGGCATAGATATAGGTCGTAGCTTGCCTAAACACAGAGAACAAAATTCACATCACATTGTTTTTCTTCCCCATGTCCGCTCAAACTTAAACTGACTTTTAGCTACAGTCTGCAAAACACACTCACTCATATGCAACATTATGGTTGGCATTTGTGAAGATGAAAAATATGTGTGTTTTGAGCCAGAAGGTGAAACTGCCTGTGGCAATTGGCCAGGTGATAATGCAAACTTAAGGCACTTTTTATAAGTAATACAGAACAGCCTAGGTTTACTTTCTTAGGAGCCCCAGACTTTAAGAATGTGGTCCTTTACAAAGAGGACCATTATTTTAGAGACTTCATTTTCTATAACTGGATCTGTCTTATTCCTCAATGCCCAAGTGTCTTTATCTTGATAGCCAATCTTCAAGACAGTAGCCCCTTGTATTTAATGTTGGAACACAGTATTAACTTCGCATCTTCACTGCTTCCTAATTCCTATCTGCTTTTTAGATACCACTATGCTTCAGCAACACGGCTAGATTCTTTTCTATGGCCTAAAGCTGGGTCTGCCCTTAAGCATCTCTTTTGCTATTATGAACTCTAGTTTCCAGATTAAAGTAATCGCTGCTTTGATCTGTCCCATTTTCCTCTGGGTCTGTGTTCTTACTAAACAGCATTTTATTGTAGCATGCAGCACTCATGACATAGACTTTCAGGATAGCTTTTTGGTGAGGCTGATCAATTGATTTCTGATCAATTCAAAATTTGTGAAGCACAAAATAGACAAAAGAAAAATCATTCACAAGTTTAAAAAGGACATCGAGCACAACACCTAATTCTCAAAATTGTAAGAAATAAACCATTACCCTCATTTTACCAGATGAAGGGCCTGGGACAGTGTATGCAATTTACCCAAGGACACACAGTTGGTAAGTGTGTATGTAGTACCAGGGTTCAAACCTAGGCACTCAAATACTACTTCTGCAATTAACTTTTGGTAACTTCAATATTCACCCACTAATATTCTGGCCTCTCAGTTCTTTGAGATTCTCTCCTCCACCCATTCTAGGGGTCATAAATGCTTAATCTTATCAACTGAAAAGGCAGTAATTCTTCCCAGTATCCTAATTTTCAACTAAAACCTGTATTTTTAGCACATCCAACACAGCACTCTAACAATTCCTCCTTTAATCTACCAATCTTCCCACCTTTCAACACCTCTTAGTCACAGTATGTTCTTGTTACTCTCCCCCTTGGCTAGATAAATTTCACAATCAAATTGTTACAGACATTCCACATATTTCGTTAAAAAATCCATTAAGATACTTCTTTCTCATTATGTTGCTAAGGGAAAATGTGACAACTTAATGGCATTTTGCCAATACAGTTTATTCAGTATATTTTACTAAGCTCTTTGAAATTTAAGGATGAATTAGACATGACAAAAATATTAATGACCCACAAATGAAGTATTTACTTAATGACTTCCTTACAAGGTGTGCAAACGACTTCATAAACGATCACCTCAGTTTCCAAATTTTCATGGGGTAGATCTCTGCAATTTTACAGAGAGAATCTGGGTGAGCTGATGTAGGTGACATGCGATCATAAGCCTTGCAATATCTCTCTGCTACTGTCTCATAGTTAAATTATTCTGTTACTTGGCTTTTCATATCTGTTGCACATCTGGAGCATTCTAATCAGGATCTCTATAGAGGTGCCAATTGTGCACTGTATTTCTTAACTGTAGCCTAATAAATGTAGAAGAGGTCAAAGATAGATACTTTTGGATTTTGTTTGAATTTTATTCTGAAATTAATGGCAAGTAGCTTTTTAAAAAAGATGAACTATATTTAGCTGCAACTAAACACAAACAGAACACAAAATTTAATTTAAAGAATATTTAGCACTGGGAACTATAATTCAATATCTTGTAATAATCTATAATATATATAGATGAACCACTTTGATGTACACCTAAACCTAACAAAATATTGTAAGTTACACTTTGATTTAAAAAAATAAAATATATACTAAATTAAATAAAAAAGACTGGGTGTCAGCAGATAGAAGTTTTAGAAAGTCCAAGAACAAGCCAAACTGAACAGCATATTGTAAGGGACATGTATAAATTGGTAAGAAATATTCTAAAAAAGGAAAGAAACAATAAACAGATAACTCAGGAGAAGAGTAGGACCAGCGAGATACAGTAGGACAGGGATCCACTGTTGGAAGCAAAGACATGGGGTAATATTCCAATTACTGGCAGGTTACCAGAAGAATCAACCATGTGGTTAGAGGGTTGGAATTTCCAGTCCTACTCCCAGCCTCTAGAGACTGGAGGGGGCTGGGGAGTGATTTTAATTACCAAGGATCAATTATTCAGTCAACTGTGCCTATACAATGAAACCTCCATAAAAATCAGAAGGACAGGTTTGAAGAGCTCCCAGGCAATGAACAGGAGAGCTCAGGAGAGTGGCACGCCGAGGGAGGGCAGAGATGCTCCAAGCTCTCAGCCCATGTCTTGCACTACGCATCTATCCCATCCAGCTGTTCCTGTGTTATATCCTTTAAACTGGTGGTCTACTAAAAAAAAAAAGAATATTGACAATGATGGAATGCCTTATGATGATCAAATACTGTTTCAATATGAAACTGCTATGCTTTAATAGCAGTGTACAGAATTGTTTGAAAATAAACTGACTTTTCCCTTAGCCAATAAAGTATTTTCAGTGCTATTACACATGCTATGGTGCTCTGTGGCAGAGTTAACTGTTCGCTCTCCTGGGCTCCCTTAGCTCCTTGGTATACATGATCCTTAATTATACTGTATTCTATCTTTCTGTTTATAGGTTTTTTCTACTTTTTGGCAGGAACTGGGTATTATACATCTTTGTTATGAAAGTTCCTGGCAAGGATTCTGACCCAGAGTGGGTATTCATTAAATTTCTTTTGAACGCTTGAATGAAAAGGATGCTAGACATTAGGGAGATTACTGGGCTGTTCACTGGATCCTACTCCTTTTTTTCTCACTCAAAGGCATCTCTTGAACAATTCTACCTTACTTTCTCTTGCAGCATCAATTTCCCCTTTCTACCCCGTGATTCCCATTAGCATACAAACATGCTGTAATTTCTACAGTCTTAAAAAATAAACAACCTCTCTTTGCTAACAAACAGCCACCCTACTACCATTTTCTCTGGTCCCCTTTACAGAAAAACTCCTAGAAGTCTCATTTTGATTTTCAGTCTCCAATTTCTCTCCTCTTTTTTCCCCCCTAGCTTTATTGAAGTATTATCGACAAATTTAAATGGTACAAATTAAGGCTGCACAGAATTACTTTTTGAGGTGTGTAATGTGATTGTATGTATACACACACACATACATTGTGAAATGATTACCACAAGCAGGTTACGATACCCTTCACCTCATACAGTTACCATCTGTGTGTGCATGTACGACTGTGTCGACTGTGTGGTGAGAACACTTAAGATCTACTCTCAGCAAAATTTAAGTGTATATAATGGAAAACATCACAGTGGTTCTTCAAACAATTAAAAAGAGAACTTCTGTAGGATCCAGCAACCCTACTTCTGGGTATATATCAAACAGAAAGGAAATGAGTTATCTCCAAGAGTTCAAATTCATTGTAACATTGTTCACAATAGCTAAGATATGTAAACAATCCAAGTGTCCATCAACAGATGAAAGAATACAGAAAACGTGGTGCATGCGCACACACACGCACACGTGCACACACACACACAGGAATATTACTCTGCCATAAAAAGGAAATCTTGCCATCTGTGATAGTGTGGATGAAGCTGAAGGACATTATGCTACATGGAATTAGCCAGGCACAAAAAATAAATGCTATAGGATCTCACTTACATGTAGAATTTCCTCTTTTCTTTTGGATCATCTGCAATCAAGATCTTGCCCCTCAACTCCCCTAAAACTACTATTGTCAAGGTTACTAGTGCTTCCATGTTGCTAAATCCAAAAGACAATTTTCAGAACCCTTGACTTTTCTTATCTATCTGCAACATTTGACACAGAGGATTCTTCTTTTCTTGAAATACTTTCTTCACTTGGCACCCAGGATACTGTCTTTCTCTGGTTTTTGTCTCCTCTTCTCTTACTAAACTCAAATGCGTACTTTAGAGCTCAGCAAAAATGTCATTTCCTCAGGGATATTCTCCTTGAACTTGTTCTAGGTTGGGTTTCTCTGTATTTGTTTTTCTTTCATAATTTTTTATAGTGTGTCACTTATTGTCAAGTAAGTATTTATTAAATTAGTTGCTTGAATTCTGTCACCATTCTAGAATGTAAATTTCACAAGGGAACAGAAATTTCTCTGTTGTTCACCATGGTATCTCTATCACTTAGCACAGTGACTTAAACATAGTTAACAGCTCAATACTTGTTAACTGATGACTTGTTAAGAAAGTAAATAGGGGACCTTCCTCATAAGGCTAGTTTCTATTTTCAAAGTTTCCTTTCCCTTTCTTCCTGTCAGCTTTCCATCCCCCCTCCCTCTCACTTTCCCTCCCTTTCTGTCTTATAAAGAACCTGACCAACCACTTTCAATATTCTAACAAATTGAGCCTGACAGAGCTGTGTGGTAATCAAGCTGAACTAGAAATCCTGCCTCCTGATTTCTTATCTAGAAACATCTCCATATTAAACTACCCATGGTGCATGGTGAAATACTACTGAATTGCTGCCTTTTTCAGTTGTATCCCTCCCCTACCTTTTAAAAACTCTGGCCCCAACATGCTAAAATAATTACGTTTCAGGATGATATACAGCATCTGAGAAGTAATCTTCTCTATTACAGTTGCCAAAGAACTGGGGGGGAAAGGCTGCAGAGAAATTTCTCCTTATGTCTGATGTACCTTTTAATTGCTCACAAAAGAAGCTTTCTCTAGAAAAATACACACACACACATATACACATCTGTTCTGAATATTTTAGTCAATATTTTGATGAAAATGAGTATAGTAAGGAATGTTAAGCTATAAGCATGTCACATACACCCATCA